CCCCTGCCCGAGAACCTGGCCTCCTTTCCCACACGCAGCTCACAGACTGTATGTGCAGGGGTCAGGGATGCTGGGAGCTAACTATCCCCCTCTTGCTACCATGCCTCTCTGTGGCTGGTGACAATACACTGTGGGCAGGAAGATGGGTGGCAGTCTCCTGGAGGCAGGGCCCTGCCTAATGGTGGTATAGGCAGCAGGAGGGGATGGACAGAACCGTGGATTAGGGTGTGGACTAGGGCCTGGAGTTGGGACATGTTGGGTTGTATGTTTTTGAAGCTTCAATTATGATTTTTAAACAATAAAAAGTTCTCCAAAGTTCCTTGCACTCGTTGATTGCAGTGTTGAGAGGCCCAGGTGGCTTTGTCTTTCTTGGCATTATAGTCCCCAGTGTGATCAGGAACCAGCAGATCTGCAGGGAAGGGCATCACAGTGAGGTGAACTGAGGTCAGGAGGCCTGGGTTTGGGGCTCTGAAACGATGGGCATGCTGATGAGTGTCCTAGGCTTCTCTGCACCTGTCGTCAAAGACTAGACTATGGCCTCCTGGCTCTTCATCAGGAACACAAGCTTCCAAGAGACTCAAGGCAAGGTGAGCAACAGAGATGGAGTCAATTGGCAGAGTGCTTGCCTAGCTTGCATAGAACCTGGGTTTGAGTCCCAGCTGTGCACAAAGCAGGCATGATGATGCACACCTGTAACCTAGGTCACCTGTAACCCTGGGTCAGGTTCAAGAGCAAACTGGGCTATATGAGACCCTACCTCAAAAAGAGTCAAGAAAGAATGAATGGCCGGCCCCGTGTGCACAAGACAGCGAATCCAGGCAGGGTGGGGAGTTTCCTCAATGGCCCAATGAAGATAGGCTGCCAGTGAAAAAAACTGGGGGGCAGGAAGGGGCGCCTCGGCTCCTTGGCCAACCGCAGGTGCACATGGCTAAGTGATATACACCTGTTCTTGCCAAGCGTCCAGGGCTGAGGCCAGTGCTCGCACTGGGTCAGTGCAGTTAGGCCTGTGTTCCTGGATCACTACACATGTATCTTTGTCCCTGCCGAGCTCTTGTCTGAGACATAATGTTCTGCCTCTGGCATTCCACAATCACTCTTCTGTCTTGCCTGCTCAGAGCCACTTAGTCACTTTTTTATGCCAAGGTGGTTGGTGGGAAAGCTTTGTCTTGACAGCTGTCTGTAAGCTTAAGGGCTGGGCTTCCAGCCTCAGTGGCCACCCAAGAGCCTGGTGTACCATTGGGACGCTTAAAGTATTTTTCGTTGGGGAGTGCACACTGACACACCTCACCAGCAAAAATTCACTCAACATGTTTTGATCTTTGCTTTAGTTTCTGATGCCAGCCCTGGTCACAGTGACCCCACATTGTTACATTCTTCAAGCTCATGCCACCTCAGTGTCATAAAGCACATGAAGTAGCTTATATGAGATGGGACTCCCTCCAGCTCTCCACTCCATCTTTGCAGATGATTTTATCCCTGTGTTAAGTTGTTCATGCTTTAAATATTCTACAGTTTCGTGAGACAAGGTAGCTTTGCTGGGAGTTGGCTACACAGAACAGGCTGGTCTTAAACTTGCAGCTATCAAGGAGGTTGACAGGAAAAAATGGTTCACAGATTCAAGAAAAAGAGCCAGAAAATCTTGGCAAATGGACCAACTGTAACAATGACAAAATCCTAAACTCAACAAGCCAGGAGAGGGCTTCCTTTGCATCAGGTGGCAACCATGAGCCTGTGGTACTGGGCATTACCAACAAGAAGATTAACTACATCAGGCAGTGATGGTGCACGTCTTTAATCCCAGCACCTGGGAGGCAGAGGCAGGTGGATCTCTGAGTTCGAGGTCAGCCTGCCTGGTCTACAGAGAGAGTTCTAGGACAGCCAGGGTTACACAGAGAAACCCTGTCTCAAAGAAACAAAATATTAATTACAGCCAGACACTGAGCAGATAAGAAAGCTCAGGCTGCTATGCAGGCTCAGATTATGTGATAATATCAAAAAACACAAAAGTGCACATTTGAAGATCATAGACAAGGGGGTTGGAGAGATGGCTCACTGGTTAAGAGCTTGTTGCACTTGAAAAGGACCTGGTTTATAACCAGCCACAATTCCAGTCCCAGGGCGATCACTGAGAATGCCTGGGAGAGCAGAGGACAGGAGGAGGGAGCAGGTAACCATTACAACAGCTGTAAGCAGCCAGGTGGTGGTCCATGCCTTTAATCCCAACAATCAGGAGGCAGAGGCAGGTGGATTTCCAAGGCCAGTCTGGTCCAGGACAGCCAGGATTGTTATGCAAAGAAAAGAAAAACTATCTTGAAAAACAAAACAGAGGCTGGAAGATGACTCAGAGGTTAAGAGCACTGGCTGACCTTTCAGAGGACCAGAGTTCAGTTCCCAACAGGCAGCTCACAACTCTGTAATTCCAGTTCCAGGGGATCTGACACCCTCACACAGACATACATGCAGGCAAAACACCAATGCACATAAAATAAAAATAATAAAAAACAAAAAACAGCTGTAAGCCCCACTGCAATGGCCATAGTCTCGTCAGTTTCAGGAGAATATTCTACAACACAGCCCCTCCCTCCAGTTCTGCATCCTTTCTGTCCTCTTCCACAGTGATCCCTGGGCTTTGGGTAGATAGCACAGTTGTCTCTCACTAATGGCCAGGCACTTACTCTCAGCACTTGGACCAGTTATGACACATTACCAATGTCTTCTACAAAAACCCTCTCTGACCGAAGCTGATGATATGTGGGCATAATTTGGACGGCAACCGGACAAGCACATCATGTCTAGTTATCAGAACAAGAGCAGTAGCTTCCCTGCTGGGTCTTGACTTCCAAGCCATAGATATGGACAACGATTCCAGCACTAGAATGGATTACCTCCTGTAGAGCCAGCCTCAAACCCAATCAGGAAGCCAGCCGTTGGTTGCTCTTACAGACTTGCCACTATTGCATGCCGGAGGAGGCCCTGGGTTCACATTTTGCCTGACCAGTCAGTAGTGCAGCATGCAGAGACCATAGCTGAGTAAGGGTCTGCACAGCTCCTTCATGCATTGTGAGCTCTAAGCAGCAGGGAGGAAGCCATCAGATCAGTTCCAGCTTGATTTCTGTGTCTTGCGACCAGGACCAGAACCTGTGGTGTCTTCAGCGACAGAGTCTTAACCACCGAATTCTGGTTAGCAACCAGCAGCAAGTAGCAATTTCCTCATGACCCCCAACCATAAAATTATTTCATTGCTACTTGTAATTCATAACTGTAATTTTGCTACTGTTATGAATTGTAACATAAATATCTGATATGCAGGGTTCTGACATGCAGCCCCTGGAGATCACAGCCCACAGGTTGAGAACCACAGACCTATACATAATGAAGAGTTTCTGACAAATGAGGTAGTCAGTGGTTGCCATCAGCTTGTTTTAAGAATGGGAATCCTCCCAGCACTTGGGAGGCAGAGGCAGGTTGAGCTCTGTGAGTTCGAGGCCAGCCTGGTCTACAGAGGGAGTGCCAGGACACCCTCCAAAACTACACAGAGAAACTCTGTCTGGAAAAAAAAAGAGAAAAGGAAGGAAGGAAGGAAGGAAGGAAGGAAGGAAGGAAGGAAGGAAGGAAGGAAGAAAAAGAAAAAAAGAATAGCAATCTCCTACCCTCCCAGAGGATAAGTAGATGATGTCTGTGACTGTGGCCACCAGGTGGCACCCTAGCCACAGGAATAACCCCACCCAGTCAGCTGTGCCTCAGCATCCAAAGATGTCTCCGATCCTTGACCCAGAAGGTGGGAATGAACTAGCTCAGTGATAGCTTGAGATTTGATCAGTCAGACAAGTGGACCCTCCTCCTCCTTGGCCAGCAACACCCTGTTGGAACTGAAACAGGGGCCAGGGTGTCCCTCCAACTCTACTACCCATGAGGCATTTCCCTCCGTGGCCCATTTCACAGGGTTGAAAATTCAAGGTCGCTTCCAGAGCTAACATCAGACAGAGTTCTAGGATTGGAGATGCACCTTCTCCTTTCTCGCCCCAGCCTGTGTCCACTCAAGCCAGATCAGTTGCTTCTGTGGTGTAGCAATCTTCTGGGAACCTGCATGTCCCAGTGCCCGACTCCAGATCCCCCAGACTCTGCTATGGTGGAGTACTATGCCAGGAGAATAATGCAGGGAAACAGAAAGGCAAGGTCAGGTAGGCAAAGAGCCCCAAAGGGTCTTGATTCATTCAAGACAGATATCCGGTTTCCTCTGGCCTCTCTGCCGGGATCCAGGGGTTTAAATGAATGAGTCATCATGGGGGGTATTGGGGAGTTCCCAGCTAATCAGCCTGGGACAGGACAGCCTGAATGCTGGATCATTTTGATTTTTATCCAAATGTGGAGAGGACAGAAACAGCAATACTCTAGTGTGCTGTCCAGGGCTTCTGGCACTGAGAAGCCACCTGGGAGCTCATGGGTATAAAATGAGGACAATGGGCTCTTCCTTCTCTCAGAACGTTTCCCCCCAGGTATAGGCATCCTAAGAATCACAGGAGAAAGGGAAGAGGGTTAGGGCACTAGCTACCTCTGCATATTAGGCAGGGGGTGAAGAGATAGAAGCAGCCTCGGCCTGGGGGTCTGGTTCTTCCCAAGGTCTGACTGAGTTCTCCCTGTACCCTCCAGGACTTCAGCCTTGTTGGACTACTCAGATCAAACACCCTGGAGCAATTCAGGCCTGGGTGTGGCTGGAGGAAGAGAGTTTGGGGGGGCAAGACGTCAAGGAAGGAGCAGAGATTCCCCGATTTCACAAAACTTTCGCAAAACAGCTTTTTCCCAACCCCCTGCATTGTCCTGGGCGGCAGAAGAAAATTTGCATAAATCCTGGGAAGTTATTACTAAGCCTGAGTTGCCCCAGCCGCAGGTAATTTCCTCCCAGGCCTTGATGGGGTTGTGTATAAAGGCCCCCTGGAGCGGGGCCCTGGCAGAACCCAGAGCTGCAGCCCAGATCATCCAGAATCACCCAGAATCAACCCATGGCTCAACTTACTGCCCAGGGCCGCAGGAAGCTGATGGGTGAGTGGCCCTGATTACCTGCCCTAGGCATGGAAAGGAGGGAGGCTGGAGTGGCAAGTGTTTCAAACCTGTCTGTCTGTTGCCAGCCCTACAACTGCTACTGTGGCACAGTGCACTCTGGGCAGGACAAGAGGCCATTCCTCTGGTCTCTGTCACCTCTCCACCACCATCCCTGCCTTGGCCCCGGAGCTTCCTGCTGAAGTCCTTGGAGCAAGTGAGGAAGATTCAGACCAGGAACTCGGAGCTGCTGGAGCAGTTGGTGAGTTAGGCTGTAGCAGGTGTGGAGGAAAGGCCTGCGTGGAGCGCACAGGAAGGCAAATGGGAAGGGGGCAGGCTAGGGAGCCAGAGCAGGGGCAGTGTTTGCCTAGTGCGCACCAGGGTCTGGATTCCAGCCCCAGAATACGACAAAACACTGAGCATGAAGGGGACATGGAAGAAAACGAGGCGAGTCAGCAGTGGGACCCTCCGGTTGGGACAGTAGAGTAGGGTCACTGGGACAGGGACCGACTGTAGGAAGCTGAGAAGTCAGGTGGACGATAGAGACAGATGAGAGGACTTAGGAGGAAGAAAGGGCCTGGCCCAGGCGAGCGCCCCTCAACACCCTTCTGTCAACAGTGTGCTACCTACAAGCTGTGCCACCCGGAGGAGCTGGTGCTGCTCGGCCATTCTCTGGGCATCCCAAAGGCTCCTCTCAGCCACTGCTCCAGCCAGGCCCTGCAGCTGGTGAGTATTTGGAGGAGAAGGGCACCAGGAGGAGGATGAGAAGCCCTGGTATTAGGGCTCCTGGAGAGAAGGGGTGTCCCACTCCATACTGCCTAATGGTCGGTCCTACTGTCCCCAGACGAAGTGCCTGCACCAACTCCACAGTGGACTCTTCCTCTACGGAGGCCTCCTGCAGGCCCTAGCGGGCATTTCCCCTGAAGTGGCCCCCACCTTGGACATGCTGCAGCTGGATGTTGCCAACTTTGCCACCACCATCTGGCAGCAGGTGAGCTTCCTCTGGAGGGGCACAGCACCCACCGGCACACTTGGAGGCTCTCAGAGGCCTGTGAATGGGGGAGCCCCATCCCTATCCCCCTGCTTCTTTGAGGTGAGAGGATTTATTACTGTTAATAGTGAGCCAGCCCCACAGGCCAGCTTTCCTGCACCCCCTCACCAGCAGTAAGGACCGATCCCTGACTTCACCTTCTCCCTACAGATGGAAACCCTGGGGGTGGCCCCTACCGCGCAGCCCACCCAGAGCACCCTGCCAACCTTCACCTCAGCCTTCCAGCGCCGGGCAGGAGGTGTCCTGGCCGCTTCCCACCTACAGAGCTTCCTGGAGACGGCTCATTGCGCTCTGAACCACTGGGTCTAGACTGAGAAAAGCCTTTGCAGCCGGTTTATTTATCTCTATTTAATATTTATACTTATTTAAACCTACTATTTAAAGATGGAGAGGAGAAAACAGAGCTCCAAGCCTCTAGGCCCTCCTCTCCACTCTGAGTTTTGTTCTCCTGCTTGTAGCAGCGAGGGCAAGCTTGTGTCCTCCTGTCCCCAGGGCTGGAGGGAGATAGGTAAATACCAAGTATTGATCCCCGAGGCTGCGCCGGGCATCCAACTCTGTGGTGGTACAAAGGGCCACAGTGAGCCCTACCACCGCATCTCAGGGGCCTCGGCAGCATCAGGAGGTCTCCCTTTTGGGAGACAAGACAACCCTGTTTAATATTTAAACAGCGGAGTCCCCACAATGGGTTCTTGCATCCCTTGCTCTAGTCAACCAGGTCGTAGGTTTCCCTGTCCCCAGAGGAATGAAGGGCCTGAAGCAGAGGCAGCCAGGTTTGGCCCTGGAATTTATTGGATTCTTTTTGAGAGCCTTGCTGGGCTGGGAGTGTGAGGGAGAATGGCAGGAGGAACCCTGTGGGGAGGGTTTGGCACAGGAGGAGGCGGACCTGTCTGACCTCCCTCTAGGCCCCACTGCTCACTGTAAGCAAGCTCGAGGATAATAAAGTGTTTTGTATCCAGTAAATGTCTTTCTTCCTTCTTGGGTTTGGCTGGTGAATGGCAGGAGAGGACAGTGCTGGGAGGAGGGATGCTCTGGCTCATCCCTCGGATCTGGGTGCTGGGAGGAGGGATGCTCTGGCTCACCCCTCGGATCTGGGTGCCGCTCTCTGTATGTCCTGAATGACAGTTCCCTGCCTTGAAGCCACAGCTTCTTGGGGAAGATGGATGATGAGTCGGTGGGAGAGAAGGGCCAAAGGGATGGAGATGGGGCAGCTAGGGCACACTGGACATGTGTGGTGAAGGACTGGTCCCTTCACCACTATGAACAGCCCTCCACAAAGCTGTCCATCAAGGAGCATGACACCACGCCTTTTACAGGCAGGATCAGAACTCAAGTTCTGCCTTGGCTGGCTTTCCCTTAATGAACCCTATCTCCTTGCTACCATCCTCGGGAACACTTCCCTGCTTGGTTCGGCTGCTGAGCTGAAGATGTCTGCAAGGGTGGGGGTGTGGCCATGAAGAGCACTTGCAGTTGAAGCTGCCCAACCGGACCAACCTAGGCGCCTCCCCCCACAGCCCTCCATAACCCTCCACACCATTGGCTTCTCAAAGTCCCCTCAGCAATTTCTCTTCCCATAGCCTCACAGGTCCACGATCCTGGACTTGTAGAGTCCCTCCAACAATCTTCTGGAAGGAACAGTGAACTCTGGGCCAGAGGGTGGAGTGTGACTAAAGAACGAGACATCCTGACATCCTGCCCTTCACGGCACAGCACTGGAACCTCCCACCAGACCTTTCCGCTTTCAGTGGGGGGTGCTGCTGACTCTCATCATTCCAGTGGGGCCTGTGAACAATGCGCCTGCCAGGCCTTCCACAGCTCCTCCCCAACCACAGGACTGTGCCCCTCCCCGGCCACAGCACAAGAGACTTGCAGGGAAAAGATACTGTCCCCAGCCAGCCAGCAAAGCCACCAGCAGCACTCAATAGTCATGGGAGCCACAAGGATCTTTATTTACAAATGAAGCAAGAGGGACTGCCCCTCATGTGTTATAAAAATAAACTCATATACACACTGCGGCCCTCTAAAGTCCCTCTTGGAGTGCAGCTACTGCAAGAATTGGGACAACCATCGGGACCGCTCACAGTCTTTGGGTACTGGTGGCAAGGACAGAACATTACAGAAGGAACTAGGAGATGTGGCTGGACATGGTAAGAAGAGAGCAGGAATGGGTGAGGCTTCAGACTGAGACGCATCCCTGCACCGCTGGATGGGGCAGCCTGGGCTCATCTTCACTCTCCCTGCTGGGATGCTGGGGCTGGGACCCCGTCCAGGCCACTCCAAGCTCCTCAGAGTGCAGCAATGGCTTTGGCAGCCACTTGACGACCCAGGGGCAGGCTGAGGTCTGTGATGGCCAGCACTACCTTGGGGCTGGACATGGCAGACACCTTTACCAGTTCCGATACCTGCCAGACAGATGAACACAGGTGGGCCCTGGGTCCTCCTCTGGGGGCTCCCCTGCACCCGCCTGGGACACTCACAGTGGTAAAGGGCATGAACTGCAGGATGCTGCCCCTGCTGTCCTGCTCCAGGCAGTCCACACACTCCTCCATGAACCACTGCACAAACTGGGTGTGGGGGCCGGCGGTGCGTGAGCCCAGGATGGAGGAAATGAGCAGGAACAGGTTGGCTGCGTAGAGGGGAAACAAGACAGCAGAGCTCTAGAACAAGTCAGATGAGGAAGAAGGGGACTGAGGAGAGAAAGGAAGGAGGGGAGCTCACACAGGAAGCCAAGGACAGCAGGCAAGGCGGGGAGATGGAGGAAAGAGGGCAGGCAGCAGCAGAACTGGATGGCAGGGGCCCAGAGCAACCCTCTGGCAGATGCGGCCTTGCCTTTTTTTTTTTTTTTTTGGTTTTTCAAGACAGGGTTTCTCTGTATTGCTTTGGAGCTTGTCCTGGAACTCACTCTGTAGCCCAGGCTGGCCTCAAACTCACAGAGACTTGCCTGCCTCTGCTGGGATTAAAGGTGTGTGCCCCAACGCCCGGTTTGAGGACCCTTCTAGCTCTGTCTGCAGGTAGGCGCAGCTGGGAAGACTCACCCAGGACTCGGTTCAGAGGGTCCCTCATGTTGACTGTGTGGAGTTGGGAAGCGGAGAGGGAGTTGTTCATGGAGCGGTCAGCTGTGGAGTGGCAGAGAGGGTCCTGCATAAGCTCTGATTCTAGGGGAGCCTCACCTGGCCCTACCATCAGGGAAGTCTGGTACATGTGGGGCACAGAAAAGACTGGATCTGGAGAGGAGATGAGAGGGAACTAGCCAATCTTGGCACTCTGTGCGGCTGAAGCTGCCTGTCCCACTCAAAGCCCATTTTACAGATACACAATCTGTTTGCTCAGGACCTGGCTAAGGTCAGAGGTGGCCCGCCAGCATCTATCCTTCACATAAGACTGTGGCTGTGGCCTGGTCTGTATAAGGCTACAGAGAAATAAATGTCTAGGTTCAGGAAAAGCAGGAACTTGGATGCCACACAAAGAGCTCTTGGCAGAAATAAAGGGTGACATGGGCTGCCCTCTGGGTAGGAAGGCGGGAGGGCAGCCCCAGGTCGCAGCCTGGCGGGGCCTGTTCTCAGCCACAGGGCATGTCTCTGGGTTAGAAGGATGACAGAGTGAGTGAGTCAATGGTACAAGCTGTGCCAAGGTAGTGAGCTCACTGGGTGTCTTCTCATCTCCCAACTGGTGACAAGAAAGGGATATATGTGGGCCAGGAGGGCCCTTGGAGGAGAACGGCAACCCTGTCCCCACCAGCAAGCAGCAGGACATCCACTAGGGGACAGAGGTGCAAGCTGCTGCCCACACCACACTGGCTGATAGCCATCAGCTGGGAGCCAAGACGGGTCCTTAGGGATGAGTGGTCCTAGCAAGCCCGTGACCTCCCAAGTGCTCACTGGGACTCGACAGAATGTTGGCATCATCCTCGTTGGAGCTCAGGAGTCGCATCAGCTTCGAAGGCTGCATGTCTTCCACGGGGAAGAGGCTGATATAGTCCTGGGGGCAGGAGTCACTATCACACACCCAACCTCCCAAGTCTCCAAGGACTGGAGAGGGATGGAGGTCAGATCTGAGTGGAGAGGAGTGAGTTTCCTAGTCCCTGGCTAGCATCCCCAGCCGTGGCCCTTCCCACATCCCAACCTCTGCCTAGTAAGCAGAAAGGACCCTCATCAAGGATACTCAGGGGCCGCTCAAGCCACTCCCCCAGACCCTGGCCAATCAAATAGGCCCACACACAATCTGCCTCAACCCCACCCTCTGCCTGGGAAGGCAGTTCTCTGCTCTAAGTGATCAGAAAATGTCTGCTGAATAAACAAACTCAAGACCAAGGCAGCAGCGGGCCTACCTCGATGTCTTCTCTGTGCCTCTTCTTCTGGCGAGAAGACGCTTGTCCCTTGTGGGAGGAATAAGAACTCAGGGCGCACCACACAGCTAGTCTGGCGAAGGGTTCCAAGAAAAAAGCATAGTTAAGAGGGTCCCAAAAGAGGCTATGTGTGCTCATGCTGAACAAGCCGCCCCCCATAACGCAGCAGCCCCCCCCCCAGCACAGCCCGGTTTCCTGAGCTGGCACCAGGGCTGGGGTGCCTGATCCTGGGTGGTAGATGCTTGGGGCTCAAGGAGGGAGGACACCAGGAAAGCTCTGGTGAGAATCCTACTTGGCTAGTGCAGTGCCAGGAGGGTCCATAAGGCTGTGCCACTTGGAGGAGTCAGTAAGCAGACCGGGCAGGATGTGGCCCAGCAGGACCAGGGTCACCTGCTGCATGTCCAGGCAGAAGATGGAGTAGAGTAGCTGTACCGCTCTCAGTGTGTGCTCCTTGCGCGTCTCCTTCAGCAGCTCCTGGGCAGTGGGCAAGCAGCGGCTGAGGTACTGCACACCTGGACCCTAGGGCTCTCACACTCCAGCCACTCTATAGTCAAAGGTGCTATTCAACCCCAACTTGAAGGTGCTTCTCTGAGGTGAGACCCCTACCTCTGTCTCCCCGGGAGACCACCCAGCTTCCAGCAACCTCCCAAAGAAGCCCGGCTCACCCCAACTGAGAACACACATGGCCCCAGTTTACATAGCTGTCCACATCCACCCCGGCCCAGGTACCTTGATCAGGTTGTTGCAGAACCAGTAGACGCCACCCATGTGCAGCAGGGTGTCAAGGATGTGGATGGAGCGGCTGTCCACCCAGCCCCTCTCCAGCACCTTGGCAAAGATGTCTGTCAATACCTCCTTGATGGGGCGCTTGGGAGGAAGCAGGTTCCAGTAGGGCATCGTGTCCACACCCGTGGATGGAAACTTGATCTGGGTGGCTGTCTGCTGAAGCACGTCCGCACACATGTGT